TTTATTTTATATATATATATACACACACACATTTTTACACAGATACTGCAGGACTCATTTGAAGGACTTCTGGGTTTTTTTTAAAAGCGATTTTTTTCTGTACCAAAGTGAAAATGAATGTGAAATGTATGAGTACAAGAAAATCACTCTTGAAATACAGCATTGTATTTTGTGTAGATGCACTGAATATTCAGCTTCATAGAAAAATTATAAGGAAATATGAATCACTCCCGTTTCATTTTTAAATTCTATTCCTTCTGCCAGCATTGATGATTTGAATCCCTGGAGTTGCATTCGGAATTGCTCCACAGCATGAGGGAAGAGTCTATAGTTATATGTAATAGCTTTCTGTTGTTAGCTTTTACACTAGAGTTTTGGTTTGCTCCATTTACGTAGTCAGTAGAGCCTTGAACGCTGATTCTCACCTTTAAATATGTTAATCAAAAGTAGTTTCACTGATATCAAAGAATTTACATTATCATATTTGCAAGAGCAGAGCTGGTCGCAGAAATGCTGGTAAGAGAAGACACTTATTTCACGTTTGATTTCACCTGAAACTAATAGACTTCTTTCCTTTTTTTTTTTTTAATGTTTCACAGGGCTATTGTGGCTTTAGTCTACAATGTATTGAAGGCATTTATGGAAATGAACAGCACCATGTTTGACGAGCTGACAGCCACTTACAAGTCAGATCGTCAGCGGTAACTTTTTAAAGCTTTTTTTGTCAGCTGTGCATAAGGCCTGCTGTTTAGCTCTTCCTTTACACTCAGATGCAGTTGCTAATCTCACATATAATAGACACAATGCCTCGTTTTTCCCCTTGCGTGCCCTGTAGCCTTCTGCTTGCAAGATGGAAGGTAATATCACATTCAGGTTGTTCTTCACTCCTTATGAAATACAGTGTCCATTGCGGTGCCTGGGAATCCACATTCCTCATGGAATTCCTTCTGACTGCATTCCAGAAGACTTAAATGTATCAGGATCTTGAATAATAAAATCAAAACACAAAGGTTTAAAGATAGCAATTTGTTTAAAGACTTCAAAAATGTTACACTGAGGTTTTGGAAAGAGACATGAGGAAAACCCCTTAAGATTTGATTTTCCCAACTACTGCTCATAGGCTGGATGTGGTCCTAAGGCAAAGAGGCATCTCTCGACCCTTTCATTTCTTATTCAGAGATCCTTCTGTATCTGAATCTTCTAGTATGCGGGATCCATTAGTTACACCACTCACATGATCATTAGTTCCATCCTGGTAAAATACTTTCTGTCTTTTCTCCTGTTTTCCTTCATCTTCGTTTTTACAGTTAGTGCAGCATCTTTTCTCAAAAGTTTCAGCTTATCCAAAGTGTCAGGTGAAAGAAATGAGGAAACTTTGGGAACTCTGAGCAGTTTGCAACATGACCTAAGTCGTACCTTTTCTGTGACTTAGTGTTCCTCCAAGCAAAGCACAGGGCACTCTGTGGTCCTCAGACCTTGTTAGGGTAGTTCAGTCTCTAAAGTTGCTTGGAGGCTGATTTTTTTGAAGTGTGTGACTGGAGTCACACTGTCCTTTTGTTCCACTTCGCTGTTGCAGACTACAAAACTTTATACACACAAAAAAATAATTCTACACTTGACAGGTTAGTTCATTAATGCAGTATTTTACTTTTAGTCACTTCGATAAGTATTTGAGCTAAGATGCCAGATGCATTCTAGATAGGTGTTGATAAATAAGGCTCAATCTGCTGGTGCTGTTGAGACAAACCTGCAGGGTTTTCTAGCAAGAAGGGCAGAGAATTTTAGGGACTGGTCCCATCATCCAGCCATTTACTGAGTTAAATCAATTTGAGATTGTGCTTTGCCCCTTTAAGCTGAGGACCTTTGCTCCAAACAGGACCAGACAGTGGTAGGAGGGAGTCCCGTGGCTGGATAGTGGGTGAGGTTTATTGACTGAACTGCACAAAGGGTTTTTCTTGTACCTACTGATGTTGTATCTCCTACCAAGGCTGGTACTAACAGTTTTCACTCTTTATTTATTACTTGTTTTAAAGCATGTGAACATCTGAATGTATAAACTGGGATATTTATGTTTACAGAAAATCTTTAGTGTCTTAGTAAAAACACATTTCCTAAGGGTGCCCTTAAAGCTTGAGGAGAAATATGTTCAGTATTAATGACTGTGATAGGTCAAATAGGTAAGTTGGGTGAGATGATCATCTTTTAAAAGTCATTTAGGTAAGCAGAAATTTTGTAATGTTTAGAAGATAAATATCCATAAGTAGCCTGAAAATGTCAGGCTACTTCACTTACATTTAATTTAAAATATTTTCTAGTGACAGCAGACTTTTTTTTTCCCCTCCTTTTTTTTCCTTTACTGTTCTTCAGGGATATATCTGAAAGTTGGGTTTATATTTTATGTGTGTAAAATACTCTTGAGAAATTAAAATGTCAAATAAATGAGCCAGATGTTAGTATTTTGACTGAATCAAGATGTGTAGGAATGTTCTGAAATATTTTTCAGAAATTCTCTAATGTGACTGGCAGAGAATCTGTATATCTATAATCTCTGTAGTTCTCCCTTTCTTCTGAGCCTACAAGGCAACATAATAGAAATTGAAAGCATTTTGTACCTCACAGAGTCAAGGCAATTTAGTCAAAGTAAGCTATAGCAGAGGCAGGAAATTTAAAATCAGATAGTGCAGGTAAAGTAAATGTTAGGCCAGCTGGTTAATTTTATCAAATCAGCTGTTAAAATCTGATGTTACAACAAATGCTACATAGATATTTTGGAGTTTCATAAGGAAAAAGAGTAAGTCACTAAACAAAAGGCAGGTCTTGTAGCTTGAATTTTCCTTTGGCTGGTACCTAAACTAAGTGAAAGGGACCAGTCACTATAAGAAAGATCAGTGATTCTAAAAGAATGAGGGAGTGATGGTTCTAAAAAGTGGCTGTTAGTTATAACATGAAAAAATAAAATAAATAAGCTTGAAAATAATTAAATGCAAGTTAGTCCTGAAATACTAATTTATATAATCTTGATATATTTGTTCCATAATATAAGTCCAGTGTGTCTTTTTCTTATACAACGCACGTTAGTGTTGATAAACACTCACTGTGTTCAGCTTTACATTTTGTGTTCTTTTTTTACTAGTTTGTTTAGTGGTATTTATGTAGGTAACAAAAATAAAAATACTTAAAAAAATTAAGTACTTGTTAGGAAAATTACAGTTATATTCAACAGACGTAGTGCTAATTAATGTCTAAAAAATTTAAAATTTAAATATTCTTCAGTCTTCTCTCGTGCTAATTCTGTGTTTCATTTCATCTGTCAGTGAGAAGAAGAAAGAGAAAGAACGTGAAGAACTGTGGAAAAAACTGGAGGATTTGGAATTAAAGAGAGGTCTTAGACGTGATGGAATAATTCCAACTTAACAGAAAAACAAAACAGCATTATTAACCTGTGGAGTCACACATTTATGTAGTAGAAGATGGAGCAACAGTTTTCTGTATTGTGCAACTTTACAGTAGATTTCACATTTGTTTCATTATTACAACAGCACTGTATATACCTGTCTCTAAGTAAAGGAAAAAAATAAGGACTTTAATCCAAAGTTTGGACAGCAGATGGACTTCTCAGAACTTTGCAAACATAATCATTGTTTTAACCCTTCTTTAAAACCAGTCTTCAAAGATCTGTTGATGAAAATTGCAATTGTCAAATTCCATTGTCAGGACCTGTTCCTTATTTATCGTTAGCAGAGAGTATAATACAACTTTCAAATGTGAACAATCTTAAAATTTAGCTTGTCTTTCTGCTAAACTGTTAAGTGTATTTATAGTAAAAGAGAAAAAAGACTGTCATTTCCTTATGAGTTTGTGTAACATCCTCCTTCTCTGGATAACTTTACTGTAATTTGACTTTTTTTTCCTTTTGCACATCTTCATAAGTTGAATGTCCATTTGGATCAGGGCCATGAAAAACATAGGTCCTGAATAAAAGTTTTGTTTACTGGTGTGAGCATTTTTTTAGTACCAGGCCGTCTCTGGTGCTTCCTTAATTTGAACATTAGGAGTTAAAAAAAACAAGTAGGTGATAAACATAGTAGGAAAGGGAGCTTTGGATTCATGCACCTATTTATTGCAAATCCAAATTAGTGTCCACAATCCTTGAAAAATGGGCAGTGGTAACACCTTGGACTTCAGTACCTAACCAGTATTAGTGAGACAGCACTGGACACACAGGCCGGAGTTGTTTTAGAAATACTAATGGCTAAATTATTACCGTATGTTTTTATTGGACCACTTGAAAGAAAAAAGACAAACGCTAAACAGTGCAAGCATGAAATTGATCTCCGGTGGTCATGGATCTGATCGGGAATTGAGTTGAGATAGCAGTTTGAACTGTTTGGAGTTGTTGCCTTACTTTTTAATATGTATTTATAAAGTGTTCCAGCAAAAGAGGATGTAGCCTCTAAGAAACATACTTTAGTGTTTTTGTGGTTCTAGTACTATTACTCATCATAGTACCAGCCCTATGGTCTTAGCTGGAAAGGATTCTGGATAATATACTTCTGCATTCTCATCTGGATGCTCATTCCTAACTACTGTATTTGTTACCAAATGTGGTTCTACAAATGCTACTGAAAAAAAAAAATTCTGGAAATCCTAATGTTCTGAGTATTAATAATAAAGTTTAAAATGCTTTTATATCAAAGGTGCATTGTGACCAAATTGTTTAAAACAAAAGAAAAAAAATACAAAAAACAAAGGAGAGGGCTGTATTATAAGTATACATTACTGGCTATCTGCTTTGTATTTGAAAGTGGAATCTTACATCTTTGGTAGGTAAAATGCTGATAAGACATGTACAGTATATATTTAGCTAATGCAGTTGCATTATTATATACCGAGAGGTATGTGTTTCAGGATTTTTCTCCAGGATGCTTTTGAACTGTTACAGACATATGACAACAGTGAATTGATAATCCTAAACCATCAATCCAGCAGTATTTACAGTATAAAACTGAATTGGTGTTCATGAGTCTTTGTGATAGTTGCAAACATGAATTTATGACCTGTTGCCATTGATAGAAATACAGTATAAATACAAGCTTGTATATTTTTCTTCCTACCATTTAAATATACAGTAGGATTTGAAGTTTTCTTGTTTTCAGGCATGGAAAAGAGGTAAAAAAGAATTCCCTCCTAGACTACTGACTGTTTCAGGATTATCAGGTCACGGTTTGTACTCCTGGGTCTGCGCACACAGATGTTGAAAACTCAACTATTTTGTAAAAACTTGGCACTGTTAATTCTGGAAGAAAAGTGGAACTAGACATATGCAACACCAAACACAATATGGTTTAATGGGATTAATATGAGCTTCTTTTAAGAACACTGACTGGGACGCGATGTAAATTAGGCAGTTACTGTCATAGTTGAAACATTTTATTTTAAAGTGCTGAAGCAAAGGTGCAAGCTGAAATACTGAAGATTAAATAAATTTATAACAAATCATGTCCCTTAGCCCATTGATTTTGACAGTCTTTTATTTCTATTACCAAAAAAATACTTGATAGTGTGATTTCTGTATGAAAGGATCATGCTTTACACGAGGATGGACTTAAACTCCTGCTCGAAGATTATGTTCAATTGTGAAAAACTGAGATAGAGCGGAGGAAAAAGATTAATGTTTTCCACCCGGTGGAGTAAAACACAATAATGTGAAATTAGAAAAAGCACCTTGTCCTGTACTTAGAGTTTAGGTGAGTGTTGTTTGTGTTCATAACTATTTTGGGTTTTCACGTGACATTCTAGTATTGATCATACAAAACTGATGAGAGCCTGGTGGGTTGCAATATTTTGTTACCTCTGATGTTACCTCTGATGTTACCTCTGGGATAGTGGGGAGTGTCTAAATTTTATAGATGAATGATCACTTCCGAGAAGGAGCGTTTCTTTAAAGTGAAGGAGGCGATGTGGTATTAAGTCACTTGACTCTAAAAGGCCGGTAACGACCCTGGGTTGCGCGGTGAGATGTCTGTGAAGGAGCACGTGCCACCACGAACCGAGCGCACCCCCAGGATCCGCTGTTTGCCGCCATCCCAGTGCGATGATGTCCCGCTGCTCTGCGGAGCTCCTGTTGCTGCCAGGTGGAGCTGTAGGCAAAGAAGAAGGCAGCTTTTGGGCCCAAGTGTGATCAGTGCGTCTATTTAATTATGCTTTTGTTCGCTTCTTGAGTTCTAGAAACTACCTTTACTTGTGTAAATGTTTTTACTGACTGCACAGAGCAGTTGTTGGGTGGTCGCTCGTGTCCTGTACCATATTGGTTTCAGGAAAAAGGGTTGGATGCGCTCTGGTAAAAGCAAAGAGCTGCGTTTTCAATGCTAGGGCATTGCATCAGGTCATGGGGATATAACAGCTGTAAAAGTAAAGTTCCTCTCATCTTCTTTAAATTGAGCACACATTGCTTTCTTCATCTTGCAAGGCTCACTTATTGTTTTCCTTTCATTGCTTTTGAGTGGTTTTTGTCTCTCTTCCAAAGGTTGGAATGCCTCAAATAAAAGTGTTCTAACGCCGTTGGAGCATTCACTAGCAGGGTTAAAGTTAATTTAATCTTGGGTTTGTTAGCATAAATAGAAGATTTAATTTATTTTTTTATCTCCTCTTATGTATGGGAAAATTGAGGTTCTTGGAGCCAAGAATTGCTTGAGTAAGAAATACAGCAGCTGTACTGAGATACTTGCATGAGTACAGCCTCAGGCTCTCACACTCTGTGGAAAGGAAAACGTATCAGGAGCTTTAAAAACCTCTTCATTGTTTTGTGGGGAGGGGGAAACACTAGATTCTTCTCCCCCACCAAGTGAAACTGAAATAATCTGCTTTTGGTTCCATCTTGGAGAACAGAGATGGCGTTCTTTCTTAATTGTGTAACACCACCATCCCAAAGCAGTTGCCCTAAAACGAGACAAAGGTGACAACGTGCAAGATGGAAGAATGTTTTTATCTACGCGTGGCTCTTTTATTTTGACTCACCTCCATCCCTTAGCAGCTCTGTAGTGAGCCGCGAATTACTTTTTCTAGTTGATGTGTGCAGCAGATTTTGTATAGCCCAGTTTTTCGTTTTGAAGCCTATATCTCAAAACAGAATGGAACTAATTTTGATTGAAAACTTTTATCCAAGTGTTGCTTCCCGTCCACAGAAGCATATGCTTTTTATCATGACCTCTCTGAATACAAGTTTTTGTTATTTGGATCACTTACTGTAAATATGTTGTATTCATAACCTCATGTAATGATGAGGAGTTTTCAAATATAAATAGTACTGATACGTTTCTTGTTGTTGTCCTATTTTTGACTGTAGTATAGCGAATGACCTGACATGCTTTTTGTTTAAAAGTTAGCATTTAGATTCATAGATCTCAGTATTTTAGCATTTCATTGTTTAAGCAGGAGAGGGCAGCAGAAGTTCGTTTTTCCCCATAGGAATGCTCTGGTCCATTACTGTTTTTAAACTTAGATGGATTTAACTATCTGTGGGTAGGGGGGAAAAATGAAACGTTTTTTTATATATATTAAAAGGTGCATATGAAAATAATATAGACTGGTCCAACCAGACTGTGAAAATGTCTTCTAGTCTACGTCAAAGTAATAATAAAAGAAAAATACCTTCCATCTCTGGATAAAGGACAAGCAGGTCTTAAGCTCTTGGGTTCAAATGTAATTCTTTGGAAATAGTTTACTTTCTTAAAAGTGGTATCAAAGAAACTCGAACTCAATGGTGCTCCCAGCTATAAATGTGTAATCCTCCTCTTCTGCACATGCTCAAGAGGCTCTGTACTGTGGGTGCATCTAAATAAAGAAGCAATGAAGTGTTTTCCAGGTGCTTGGCTTTTTTTTCCACCACCTCCCATCTAAACTTCATGTACGTGTTTGACAGCGAGCTCCCGGCAATTAGATACGCACTCGTGTGTTACATGTAAGGACACTCGTCTCAGGAAAGACAATGAGGTGGTAATTTAAGTTTCTGCTGCAATTACTGTAGTAAATGCTCTGTTTTCCTTAAGTTTATGTTTTTTAAAGGTGCGCTCATGATGTTTAACATCCTTGTACTGCACCCGGCCATGCCTGTGAGGGAGGTAAAGAGCAGTGGGTGCAGAAAAGACACGTTAAAGCCATGCAGTGTTCTAAATAAACCATTTGACCCTTACACTTTGCAGCTGGGGAAGGATCTTGCTCTATAGCATTCTGCTGTTTCAGTCCTCATGCTACTCTTCATTGCAGTTTGGATCAAGGAGAAAAGCTTTAGGTGGTTACATATGTGGGAAACAGCCTCTGGAGAGAACCACGGATAGAGCCTGCTAAGAGGCGACACTGGTGAAGGGTTTAGAAGCACAGTAGATAAGGGTGCTGCAATAGAACTGGAGACAAGATGTATTAAACATCTACTTCTGGTTTTAAAATATCAGTTTCCTACATGAATTGTCCTTGTAGCCTAAATCTTAAAAAAATCTTTCCATTTTAATTTTTTTTGTATTGAATTTTCAGCAATTAGATCTTGCCTCCCTTTGTTATAAGAGCCCATTATCACAAATCTCTTTAAATACTTGTAAGACAATATTCAGATCACTTAACAACCTTATATCTCTTTACTTCCTTATTGCAAGGCAAGTATTTTCCAAAGAAGTTAAAAAAAAAAAAAGAACATGCAGTAAGTTGGCCTTCAGGGTAGGATTTGTCTTCAGTACTTGCAAGTTAGAAAACAACCTTGAAAGGATGGGCATTAGAAACTTAAATTAGTTTCCTACTTTTGGTAATAGTAATTGCTTTGCTAATTTTTCATCTTTGTCTTTCCTTCTCAGAATTCCTCATACAATAGCAGAGTGCCTAGTTTATCGTACATTGAATTTGGACCCCAGATCACAAGTCTGACCTACAAAAGTAGATTTTTGTGCAGGTAAAGGCTGTTCCCAAGTCTGCATTCAACTACTGCTTCAATACAGTAAAGCAATAGCTTGGGTATTAAACTAGAAACTGATACAAGGTCTTGCATTACAAGTTCAGAGCTATCTCTGCTTTTAGAGATTAAATGCTGAAGCCAAAGTGAATATCCTGAATTTGTTAGTAAATACGTTGGAAGAAAGCACTAATGTACTGTGAGTAATGACTGCAGGCTTTTCTGTCTATTTAGTGCTTTGCCCCCCCACACCCCAAAATCACTGAAGGTGTGAGAAATTAGGGATCACTTGGGAAGGACGGAAATCTTGTGATACCTTGAAAGAAAGATATATTCTGTAGTGCTGAACAGTGGCTCGTGCCTTTGATACCCACTTGAAAATATCTGCTAACTTGTCTTGTGTTATCCCTGAATCTGGGAAGGTCTTCCAAAAAGAGAATGAGAAAGGGATAATCTATAGAGATTCTGAATGTCGATTTGGAAATTCTTACTTTGTCACCACCTGGGACCGGGTTTTGAGTTGGTTTTGGTTTTTTTTTTGCCTCTGCACTTCAATGACAGAGAAAGCAGCAACCCAAGAGGCAGTATGCATAGAGCATCTGGCTGGAGGAGCGGTCCAGGGAATGTGCATCCCTACCTGCCCGCCAAAGCAGAGGGAAGCTTGAGCATAATTGCCCTTGACAGCAAGGAAGGAAAGACGCTGCATTCGTATAAGCATGTGTGTGGGCCTCCAGCAACAAAAGGTAGAGATTATCTGC